TTGGGGGAAACCTGCAGTCTCTCTGCCTCGGTGGCCGCAAAGGGGGTGCTGGGGACGGAGGTGTCCCTCTCTGTGGCGTTGGCGCCGGTGCCGTTGGTCATCGCAGCAGTCACGTTTTCCTCTGAGCTCATCTCGGAAGTGGTGGCAGTCTCTGGACTGAGGCTGACAGCTTCGCTGGGCGGCTGCGAGGTTGGCATTGTGCTGAGAAAAGGTGACACCGTCATCAACGTTTCTCCTGTCTTCTGCCCCTCTCCTAGGGAAGGGAGATAAGAAAGGCTGTAAAACTGTCCGAGGTCCCACACTGTGGGGAGAGGCAGAGGGAAAGCCCAGGACTCTCGATCCCTGTTCCTCCAAACACAGCACAGGCCCAGCCGGGAAGCAGAACGTGGGGAAGGGGCACGGGCAGCCCCTGCCCTCCCAGCCACCGGGGCAAGGGCTTTACCCTCCTCCCCATCAAGGCCCCGCCATGGCCCATGTCTCTGCACACTCTATCCAGGGGCACATTTTAGAGGATTTCATTTTAAGTACTGCCTGAGACCTGATTCTGCAGGAAACGTAGGTTAGTCTGCCTTGGTTCATGGAGAAAGGGAAGAAGAGGCATAAGCGGTGCAAAAGGGGCAGGGGATGAACAAAAAAGTGGGGAAAAAGTGGAAGTAGTTCCTCTATCTCCCTGGTCTCAATGAATTTTAGAAAAATGATGTTTAACAAGTCCAGGGCTGGCAAGGGCAAAGCAGATACTGCTGGCCACCTTGCACAGCACAGCCTTGATGCTGGAGGGCAAGGTGAAATGGGTGGTAAGGGAGTCCTGGGGCTAAGGGAGCCTGTGGAGCGGCCGCTCGGCCGTTGTCCGCAGGGAGCCGCTTTCCTGAGCCACAGAAATGGGGAGCGACTCAGTCTCCAGCAGCCTCCAGCCCCTGCGCCGGGCACAGGGATCCCCTGGGCCGGAGCTGGGAACCCACAGGGCGCCTGCGCTGCCAGGAGCAAACACGGAGCTCGAATCGGAGACTTTTGGAAGGTGTAAACAGGAAAAAAAACAAAGCAGCGTGGCTACATCAGCATGGACTCTTTATGCAACTTAAAAACATCACATGGTCAATATTTTTACTATTTCTGTCTAAGTTGCTACCCAAGCCACTGAAGCATGACAAACCAACTGCAGGAAAAAATAAAGGTACTGAAGGAAAATCCGTCTGCATGGCCACTCTCTCTGTCCTGGAGAAGCATCCAAGGCAGATGCTGAAAGAGGAACATTCACCGGCCAACAGAGCAGACGGGGGGTTTGAGAAAATCTCAGCAGCTTTTAAAAGCTTTCCAGAGAGTCCTTGCGGCACGGCCGGCCCAGCCCGCGAGAAGCCCTGCTGAGGGGAGCGATATTCCCGCTCCGTATCTCTTCCTGCTGTTGTCCCGCATCCTGAAACAACGTAATAGCAGCGTTTCGGAAAGGCTCGTGCTGTGGTGCCCTGGGCCGGGCAGGGACGCAGGGAGGTGGCACTGCAGAGAGCTGCCAGGGCCATGTTGACATGGGCAGGTTGGAGCCTCTGAGCAGGGCAGGGTGGCACCTGCATTAGCGGGTCCTCGAGCCCAGCACATCTCAGCCCAGGGAACAAAGGGGAGCCCAAAGGCCAAGACAAAGACTGCGGCCATTAAGAGGTGATGGTGGGAAGATAGAGAACAAGGCAGGAGCCTGCACTGGAGCAGGAGACAAAGGACAGTGATGGCTCCAAAGATCACCATCCCCTGAGACCCTGCTGTCCCAGCACAGCCACCACGCCAGGCTCAGGGCAAACACTCCCTTCAAGCACCTTGGAGCTTGGGAGCACATGGGCCAAGAGCAGGAGCACCCAGGAGCTTCAGTTTGGTTTTAAAATAAAGACACTGCCCTCCCAAGCTCTTTGACTGAGATTTGCTTTGAATTATGATTACACTGTTGTTATTTTTGACAGTTTTATCACCAAACAAGGCACCTACTACATCCTGCTCCCACCCCACTTCATACAAACCCTGCAGCACCACGGTGGGACGGCTCACTGCAGGATGAGACCAGACAAACCCCGTGACATGGGTGGCTCCCAGCATCCAGCCACTGGGGTCGGTGCTGGCTCCTTAGTGTCCAAGAGGTGGGAAAATCCCCAGCTGCCTGGGCTGTCCCGGCTGCTCCAGCCTCCACGTGCTGCTGTTCTCGGCTGTTTGACAGTTACCCCCCAGCTGCTGGTGCTGTCCTGGCTGCTCCAGCCTCCGCGCGCTGCTGTTCTCGGCTGTTTGCCGGGTACTGCGATAGACGCAGGTCGGAGCCTGTTGCGTTTCCTGGAAGAGCTCTGCTCCCAGCGCCAGGGGCAGCGAGGCTGCGGCATCGCCCTGGCACACACCGCTCCGGATGGGAATAGCGGGGAGGGAAGGGGCTGGGGCAGCCCCTCCACTGCCACCCTCCCTGGCATCCTCCACAAGGCAGGAAAGATGCAGGATGGCGCCCGTTGCCCTCATGCCGTACAAAAGCAACATGAATATAGTCCAAATGGATAAGCTGGAGCCAAGCAAGATGAGGAAGTTTTGCATGAATGGAGGCAAAGCCAGGGCATGTTCAGCCGGGGAAAGATGCTGCCCAGCACTCTGCTTTGGTGTCCATCTCCCTGCGGCCTGCGCGCCGCGTCCCTGGCCACCCTCTCCAAGCAGCTTGGCCGGGTGCAAAGACTCTGCAGCTGGGGGGTCTCCTCCACGCAGCCTGGTCTCACCGCTGCCACAGCAGACACCCCGCAGTCCAGGTGTTTCCTTGACGAGAACAGGGCAGTGAGAGGGAGCGGGGCCCCATCGGAGCGGCCGGCTCCAGGGAGAGCAGGTTGTCGAGCCGGAGGTTGCAGGCACTGCTCAAGGAGGAGCACGGAGACCGCGAGAGCCGAGTGCGGGGAAGTGGGAAAGACGGGCTGGATTTCAGAAGAAGTGACCCATGAGAGCAGATCAGCCCATGCTAGCAGGTCCTCCCTTGCAGGCTGCCCCTGTCTCTAGTTAGCCCTTCGTTTAAATCGGCTTCACACAGGACTGATGCATTCAGAAAAGCAAGAAAAACCCTCTTAAATGCTATTTTTGTGCACTTACTGAACCCCATTTCTTTTTAAGTGTAAAAAAAAAAAAGTCATGATCAATCCAGGCAAATGCAAAATTCAACAATGTTTCAAGAGCAAGAGCATAAGCTGTAACCTGTATGCATTCAAGCAATTATATCCTCTTCCTTAGCAAAGTACTCCATTAACTGCAGAAATTATCTTTTGTTGCCAGTTATTATGGTTACCAACCAACAGTAATTAAAACAACCTCTTCAAGGAAAAAGAGCTTAAGTATAAATGCAAATACCACCGTGCAGAGGGATTTCAAACCCAGGCTCTCAGTTTCCCTTGAAAACAGCCCGGAGCAGCTGCCGACTCCTTGCTAGCCCTGCCTGCCCTTGTCTCACGCACTTGGGAGTGAGGAGCCCCAAAGGGCAGACGAAGATCCCAGTGCCCAAGTGGGACGCAGGGACGCAGACCCGGCGTGACCCAGCACCAGGGGGACACCCGGCTGGAGACAGGACTCCACTGGGCTGAGCTTTGCTGCCACCACCGCCCCCATCCCCAGCAGCGCCCGCGTGGGGCACGGGGACAGCCAGGTCGCCACCGCCCGCGTGGGAGCCCAGCGGAGGCTCCCAAGCTGTGCAGCAAGAGGCCGGCAACGCAGCGCGGGGGGACACCCGGCAGCTGCAGGGCCGGGGCTGGCAGCCGGCCCCCGCGTCGCATCTGCGTGCCAGCAAGGACTTAAGGCGATTAAGAGCAGGCCGGCGAGGCGGGCGAAGCCCTAATGAGCCAGGCAGCGTTAGCAAGAGACATCCATGTCTGCAGCAGTCTCCAGATGCCGCAGCCAGCGCTGCCCTCACCCCCGTCCCGCTCCCTTGCACATGCCGAGCACCCTGGCTGCGGCCGCAGGACAAAGCAGCTCTCCTGACCCGGGCGCCCTTTCCAGCCCCGCAGGCCACGAGCCGAGCACGGGACTCGGCTCAGATTAGATACAGGGCTCGTGGAGGGACAGGCCCGTGCCCGGCCTGCCTGGGCTGGTGGGGGCACCTGCAGGTGCCAGGGCTCAGGCCTGATGCCGCAGGGGCGGAAAAGGGAAGCCTGGAGCGTGACACAGGGCCAGCGCTGCCTGCTTTGT